AGTAAATGTGGATTTTATCACATACAGTAATCCCTCATCTTTGCGTGTGTTTTGAAGGTACAGTACTCCAGCTTTAACTTAATATGCAAATTAACACTGAGAATTGATTAGCGGTGAACACAAATTTGAAAGTCACATTTGTAAAGGTTTAGCACTGCCTTGCTTTTGGAATGTGTCTGCTGTCTGCCTGAATGTGTCTGCTGTCTGTCTGAATGTGTCTGCTGTCTGCCTGAATCTGTCTGCTGTGTGTCTGAATGTGTCTGCTGTCTGCCTGAATCTGTCTGCTGTCTGCCTGAATCTGTCTGCTGTCTGCCTGAATGTGTCTGCTGTCTGCCTGAATCTGTCTGCCTGAATGTGTCTGCTGTCTGCCTGAATCTGTCTGCTGTCTGTCTGCTGTCTGCCTGAATCTGTCTGCTGTCTGTCTGCTGTCTGCCTGAATCTGTCTGCTGTCTGTCTGAATCTGTCTGCTGTCTGCCTGATTTCTGTCTGAATGTGTTTGCTGTCTGCCTGAATCTGTCTGCTGTCTGTCTGAATCTGTCTGCTGTCTGCCTGATTTCTGTCTGAATGTGTTTGCTGTCTGCCTGAATGTGTCTGCTGTCTGTCTGAATCTGTCTGCTGTCTGCCTGAATCTGTCTGCTGTGTGTCTGAATGTGTCTGCTGTCTGCCTGAATCTGTCTGCTGTCTGCCTGAATCTGTCTGCTGTCTGCCTGAATGTGTCTGCTGTCTGCCTGAATCTGTCTGCCTGAATGTGTCTGCTGTCTGCCTGAATCTGTCTGCTGTCTGTCTGCTGTCTGCCTGAATCTGTCTGCTGTCTGTCTGAATCTGTCTGCTGTCTGCCTGATTTCTGTCTGAATGTGTTTGCTGTCTGCCTGAATGTGTCTGCTGTCTGTCTGAATCTGTCTGCTGTCTGCCTGAATCTGTCTGCTGTCTGCCTGAATCTGTCTGCTGTCTGCCTGAATCTGTCTGCTGTCTGCCTGAATCTGTCTGCTGTCTGCCTGAATGTGTCTGCTGTCTGCCTGAATCTGTCTGCCTGAATGTGTTTGCTGTCTGCCTGAATCTGTCTGCTGTCTGCCTGAATCTGTCTGCTGTCTGTCTGAATGTGTCTGCTGTCTGCCTGAATCTGTCTGCTGTCTGTCTGCTGTCTGCCTGAATCTGTCTGCTGTCTGTCTGCTGTCTGCTGTCTGCCTGAATCTGTCTGCTAACTCCCTCTCACATGTACTGTAGCTATATACATTACGTTTAGTGTAGTATCTATGACAAACTAAGTGTTTTAGCAAGAAGTGCACATGATTTTTTTCTCATTTGAACTATGACACTGAAGGACACTCGGTGAGTAAAGGTCCATGCTTCAGCAGCAGACTGGTCATTCACTGTGGAGTGTCTGTGTCTTGCCTCTTCTGATCGGGCCCTGTCTGATCAAAGTCGTTTTGTTAGGGAAGTCAGCTGTCAGTTGGGCGGCACGGTGGCTGAGTGGTTAGCACTCTCGCTTCTCAGCAAGAAAGTCCTGGGTTCAAATCCCGGTTGGAACAGGGCCTTTCTGAGTGGAGTTTGCATGTTCTCCCCGTGTCTGCGTAGGTTTACTCCGGGTGCTCTGGTTTCCCCTACCACTAAAAACATGCACAATAGATATGAATGTAAATGAGAGAGTGGATGGATGGTGTTGATTGGGGGCTTTGATGGACCAGTGTGTTCGGCGACTCGCTTCCGTCATCACCGTGTGTGGAATGATTGGAACAATATCTGAACTCTGAACATTGTAAAGCGCTTTGGGTGACCTTGGTCTGTAAAATGCGCTATATAATTAAACATTACATTACTACTTGTTACACAACTTGCAATAGTACATTTAGTTGCCCATAACGTTTGCTTATTCACAAAGTTAAGCTAACATTTAAATAGGGTAATAAGTTCAATCCCTTCTCACTGAAAATATAGACTAGTGTATTTCACTTGATTTCAGTGTTTTTATCGAATCACACTGTTTTTTTGAAATGTTTACTCATGCAGGCTGAAGATACTTACGACACTATTACTTGTTATTCATATTTTTATCCCTGTTTCAAGAAATCTTAACAGGTGGAAAAATCCTGATACATTGGCAGATAGTTTAGCTTGAATTTAATTATTTCCTCTAATAGTGGCTATTTTTCCTTGTTTTTTTGGAGCCACTTTTTGCAGTGAATACGTTGCCCACTCATCTTTTCAACCATTCACATACAGCAAACACATTATTTTTCCCTGCTCCATTCTTTGCCCCATTCCAACCTCAGCAGTAAAATTGTCCTCAGCCTTTTGTATTGCTCTTCCACTTCACACAACCCCCATTTCTAACTTAAACATAGTACTATTTCCCGTTTACCCTTATCTCTGTCTCTCTGCATGCGTCGCCGACATTATTACCTGCCAAAGTACATCTAATCATTCATCTCTCCTGAAGTAAAAATCAACCAGCACTTATTACAGTTACGTAAGCTTTTGAATAGAGCTGATTGCAATGGAACTAAATCTTGCTTTTCAGCGTGTCGCAGTGGCATCTGTCCATTTGGAGTCATTTGTATGTGATCTGAATGGGCTTTGATTAGCTTATGGGGAGCTCTGAGGGGTTTTATAGCAGCTCTATGAAGCACGCTCGCCTCCTGATTGAAATGCATTGTGTACAGTTGACTCCCTGGATTACAGTCGGATTTGTCACTGTTCCCACCTGTTTAATTATAGCACTTAAGACCAGCGCAAGAGGACGCAATGGAAAAGTCAAAAGTACAGAGTCAACTCAATCGCTTGTTAGGGATTTAGAAAGGCTATGGCTACGGCGCTACTTCTTTTCAAATTTGTGAAGGTAGTTTTTGCTGAAAGGTGGTGTAGTATTGTGTAATATTATAGTTTTTGTAGTGGCAGAAGCTGGAAATACTTCTCTAGTATATTTAAATTTAGATACAAAACAGCCTTGTACAATTTTACTGGAGATGTAGAAACTGATGCTGTCGTCATAAAGTATTCAGACAAAAAGGGCAGGGGTTATGTGCTCTTCATATAAATAACCAGGATGGATCAATGTTGTAACATGGTGGTAAAAAAAAGACCATTTTGGTTCAGACAGTGGCTTGCACAGCTGTTATTTTTGCAAACTTTATCACGTTTCTTGCTGGAGTTTTATCGAAAGCGATTTAAAAAAGATCATTTCCATGTGTCAAAGACCTGAAAACTATTGTTCACAAACGCTCTCCTTCTACAGGTGAAACTTGGAAAATTACCGCTCAAGAGTCTGTTTACTTACAGTGTGAGACTAATATTGTCATGGTGTGGATTTTATGTTGGTAAATTTATTTTATATTAATTTATTTTGACTTCAGTTGTGTGGGTTTTTTTTACTTTGACTTCCTGTTCCCCTGTCTTGATTGTCGGCCCCGCCCTGATGTGTTTTACCTGTTTCTCTCTGTGTCTATTTATACCTGTGTCTCTCTGTGTCTATTTGTACCTGTGTCTCTCTGTGTCTATATGTACCTGTGTCTCTCTGTGTCTATATGTACCTGTGTCTCTCTGTGTCTATATGTACCTGTGTCTCTCTGTGTCTATATGTACCTGTGTCTCTCTGTGTCTATTTGTACCTGTGTCTCTCTGTGTCTATTTGTACCTGTGTCTCTCTGTGTCTATATGTACCTGTGTCTCTCTGTGTCTATATGTACCTGTGTCTCTCTGTGTCTATATGTACCTGTGTCTCTCTGTGTCTCTCTGTGTCTATATGTACCTGTGTTTCTTTGTGTCTATATGTACCTGTGTCTCTCTGTGTCTATATGTACCTGTGTTTCTTTGTGTCTATATGTACCTGTGTCTCTCTGTGTCTATATGTACCTGTGTTTCTTTGTGTCTATATGTACCTGTGTCTCTCTGTGTCTATATGTACCTGTGTCTCTCTGTGTCTATATGTACCTGTGTCTCTCTGTGTCTATATGTACCTGTATCTCTCTGTGTCTATATGTACCTGTGTCTCTCTGTGTCTATTTGTACCTGTGTCTCTCTGTGTCTATTTGTACCTGTGTCTCTCTGTGTCTATATGTACCTGTGTCTCTCTGTGTCTATATGTACCTGTGTCTCTCTGTGTCTATATGTACCTGTGTCTCTCTGTGTCTATATGTACCTGTGTCTCTCTGTGTCTATATGTACCTGTGTCTCTCTGTGTCTATATGTACCTGTGTCTCTCTGTGTCTATATGTACCTGTGTCTCTCTGTGTCTCTCTGTGTCTATATGTACCTGTGTCTCTCTGTGTCTATATGTACCTGTGTTTCTTTGTGTCTATATGTACCTGTGTCTCTCTGTGTCTATATGTACCTGTGTCTCTCTGTGTCTATATGTACCTGTGTTTCTTTGTGTCTATATGTACCTGTGTTTCTTTGTGTCTATATGTATTAACTAATTCTCAGCTCTGGATTCAAATACAGCACATTTGGTCTGTTGGCAGCAGGTCAGCTGATAGATGGAGATGTGTTTCTTTGGCAATATCTGGGTCATAGAACAATATGTTCAGGTCAAAGCAGATTATTACCAGATGCGTAATGTAGCCATATATTAAGTATTGATACTAAAAAAAACAAAATTCGTCACACTCCTAGCTGTGATTTAGGGCTATACAAGTATAAATTGAATTGAATTATTTCCTGAGTTTCACCTGTAATCTGACCGAGCTGGTGCTGTTGTTTAAAGAATAATGGGCAAAACTTTCAGTCTGTATTTGTGAAAAGCTTGTAAGAGGCACACCCCAAAAGACTATAAATTGCATTTACACCATCAATAACAACCCATGCGGTATGAATACTAGCTCCACTTTTACCATTTAAAAAAAAATCATGTATAATTTTACTTTTCACTTCAAAAGAAAATCCCACATAGAATATTAACATTTGTGATAACGACATGTTAATCATTTGTATTTGTACTTTTGCCGTTTGAAATGTGTCCTTTAATGTCTCTGTGTGTGTGTGGTGTTTTGATCTGTCTTATTCAGATGGATCCGGTGCAGAAAGCGGTGATCAACCACACATTTGGCGTCCCTCAGCCTCTGAAGAAGAAGCAGATTATCTCCTGCAATATCTGCCACCTGCGCTTCAATTCCACGGTAAGAAAGCGGCTTTATGTTTGAGAAAAGGAGCCGACAGAAGGCATCCAAGAAGGTGCAATTTAACATGAAAGAAATCTCAAGTGAAGAGTGAGTGCTGTGTCTCAAAACAGCGGCTTTGTTCAGCGGGCCCATGTTGTTTTCTTCAAAATGTCTGTCTCTCAGTTACACGGCTTTTATCGTCCTCGGTAAGGTTCGCCTTTGTAAGCAGTGTGTGCACTTAAGTGGCTCCGATATTTACATCAAGAGAGAAGTGAGTGTGTTCTGTCTGCAGGTCTGTAAACAATACACACTTTCAACGTATACTGTATAATGATGATAACATAGACGTGAAGAGAAATAGATCTCCACAAGGGCTGTTTCAACTGTTAACTACTCACCAACGAAAGAATGAAATGTGTTTGTCGACTGAAAGGAAGATTTCTATAATATAACACCGCTGTTTATCCAAAGTGTACTTTTTAAAATCCCAAATTTCCATCTGATCGCTTCAGTTTTAAAATGATGCATATTTTTTTACCATAATGTGCTACTAATAATAATGCATTGGTTTTACATAGCGGTTTTCTGGACACTTAAAGACACTTAACTTGACATTTATCATGATAAACTTCTGCTGTAGCCGCAGCTGCCCTGGGCCACACTGACTGAACCGAGGCGACCAGTACTGTATGTGCCATAAGCCCGTCTGACCACCATCAATCATTCCTGCACACACCAGACTTGTACTAAGCAATGTAGTGTTTTGCCAAAGAACACAACAACAGTTTGGCATCATACAGCCGTAGCCGCCCCACTGTGGCTCCTGGTGTTCTCAGAGGTCTCCCATCATAGTACTAACCAGACCCTGCCTTGCTTAGCTTCTGAGGTCTGACAGGACCTGGCTGTTGCCCTCTCAAGGCCAAATTTGAATGAAAGGAAAAATCTAATATTTGGGGAAAATTATCATATGAGGTAATAATATTAAATCCTGACTTGCAGATGTTGCAGATTTGTAACATTGGTCCGCTGTAGTAAATAGAGCTGACCCAGGGACAAACCCAGAGGAGAGATAATCTACAAATTCGGCATGTACCGTACCTGTATATACAGTATTTATCTTTCATTTTATGTAGTTTAGGTTTTAAATTATTGGAGGTTGATGATGCTTGAAATTGAGGCCGAGAAAATCAATGTCGGTGAAACCAAGGAAACTGGTATTTTGGAAGTGAGACAGCGCCGCCCCCTGGTGAGGAGGTGGAAAACTGTGTGTTGCTAAAACTCAACGAAGTCCAGCAGTGGTACTTCTGAGTGAATAATAATAATCTTTATTTGTATAGCACTTTAAAAAAACAATGTTTACAAAGTGCTACAGTCAGCGAAATAAACAATGAAACAGTCAAAGACAAATTCAAAATAAATAGATAGATTAGATACAGGAAGACAAAGCAGACATGAGGAGACACAAGAAGAAAGACACAACAAAGACAAAGCAGACCATAAAATACAAAATGGGAAGTTTAAAACTAACAGATAAAAGCTGTTTGATAAAAGTGGATTTTAAGAAGTTATTTAAAAGCGGATACCGATGTTGCGAGCTTTACCTTCTCGGGCTGATTGTTCTAAAGTCGAGGAGCCCGGGCCAGAGAAGTAGGTAGTTAGTAAAAGATGAAGTAGTTGCAAACCTGCCTTCCTGGAGAGGGTTTTCTCTCTGCAGGTTTGTCCTCAATACATAAACCACAAAGTTAACCTGGACTATAGTTTAGTTAATCACTCTGAGTACTAGTCCATTCTTTGACCAAGTCTTCTCCGGTCATACAGTATGTTAAAACCCGGCTCCATCTCACACACTTTCTCATTCCCACTGCTTCTGTTGTTATTTTTTCTTTTTTATCAGCTTTTCTGTGTGGAAGAATTCGTTTTGTTTCGCTTTGGCGAGATAGCGGTGTGAGCGTGTTGTTCCGGTCTGAAGGATGAGACCACAGGGAGGGCCGCCGTTTATCTCCCAACACAGAAACAATCAAAGCACACAGTCAGAGCCGGCCTCTCTGCACCGCGGGCCCAGCAGCCGCCGCCGCATTCAAAACCTCATTCAACTATTGTCTATTCAAGTGCATGCGTTTTACTTTGTCGGGACAAAGTCATTTTAGAGTTAGTTTGAGCGAGTTTTGACCTTGTTTGGACAGCATGCCATATGACGGGCCAAACTTGCATGCTAAAGAGTCTGAAGCTGTGCAGGGGAGGGCCTGGTTAGTACTGTGATGGGAGACCTCCAGGAACACCAGGTGCCACAGTGGGGCAGCTGTGGCTGTAAAGTGAACAAAATGTCGTTGTGTTTTTAGGCAAGACACTTAACCTCTTTAGCACATTATGTAGACAGTAAAATAAAATCAATAAAATAATTTTTAAATATCAATAAAACGAAACTAAGAACAACTGGACTCACACGGTGGTAAAAACTAGAGCAAAACAAGAAACCATGTATTTTACTAATTCATAAATAATAATAATAATAATAATAATTTGGTTTTCATTAGTTCACAGATGAAATATGAAAGAAATACATAAATACAGGTGATGATCGGTATCCTATTACGTTATGACAGACCAAAACTGCAGATAGCTTATTATTTTACAGTTAAAGACCAGATGCAGATGAGCTGTATATTTTGTTTCATATAGTTATCTGTTTTTGACCAGAAATAAAACTTATTTTTTAAAGTATGAATGGTTTTGATTGTTGTAGAGGGGGCAATATAAATCATGTGGGTTATACTGTGTTTTCATAACAAAGGAAAACAGAACATTACAAAATTGAATGAATAAATAAAGCTACATTTGCACTATATTTATATAAAAAAAAAAAAAAAAAAAGACAACAATGTTTATGTTTCACTGCTTAGCTACATCCACTCTGACCAATGTTTAGAAGAGCTGGATGCAGAGACAAAAATGCTAAAAAAAAATAAAAATAAAAAATATACTGCAACATAAATATGTATCCAAAATGGCAGGTGCAGGCTTTTGGACTCCGCCTCTTTTTCAAGTGTTGTTGCCGCAGCTGCCCTGGGGTTGACAGATGTGACATGGCTGCCTACAATTATCAGTAGTTATCGATAGTATCGATATCGATTTTGAAAAAAAAAAGAACAATGATTTTTTTTTTTTTTAACAAATTCTTTTTTTTAAATTGGTATCAATACTTGATATATGGCTACATTACGCATCTCCATTCCATTTATCATGAAATAAAGTGTATTTTTTCTTTTATTTATGCCATAAATTGGCATTTTGTATATTTCTGACCAATATATCGATAATCGTCTTATAGTGATAAAATCGTTATCGTGATATTGTTATCGTGATAATATCGTTATTGTGTATCGTATCGTGAGGTACCCTTAGGTTCCCACCCCTAGTCAACATTGCTTTTCTGAGGGCCGAGTTTAGTCCTGGTTGAGATTGGAACTGGATTTGCAATTCCAGGTACATTGTTTTTGTGGTAGTTCAGTGTTTGATGACAGACTCAAAGCCTCGAGTCACTTCTCTGTCAGTCTGTCCCAGGGCAGCTTTTGGTTTCAATCATCAAAACCTGAGCAGAAGCTAAATCATGCACAACTTTGTAATGCAACTGTGCTTAGGTGTCCACTATGATGCCTGTTTTAATTCCCAATGTTTTTTTTTTTTTTTTTTTTTTTTTTTACACTGGAGAAACCCATGAATAAACAATCGACTTTAGAAATTCAAGGTTGGTGAATTATGTAGTATACGTGGATGCAATTTCCTGGTTTGCGCCTTCAAAGAAACGCCAGCACCGCGGAGACTCAGCTCTGGGAAAACCTTTCTTCAGCCTACAGACGGTGTGTGTACAGTGGGCCTGAGAGGGTGTGGGTCTCTGAGTGAGCACCGACACTTTGCTAACACCGCCGCACGCTCCAGAGGCTGCTGCTGACATCATACGGATAGTTTTCCCTTTTGCATAATGTAGACGTTCCCAGAGGAGCCGAGCTTTACGTGTGGTGTTCTCGGAGCTCCCAGGGTCACATGAGGACTGAGGGAACAGAGATTGTTACATTTTTATTTAGCTCCTGGTTTTGGTGGCAGTATGAAGGTGTTGGACCAGTTTTACATTTGTATATTTGGTGAATTTATCAAGTGATGGATTGGTTTGTTTTATGGAAGATGATTGTCAAGTGTCAAGTCTGGATGACTGGTGATATTATTATAATTATTATAGTATTGTATAACATATCAAGATTTGTGGATTCAAGTGAAGGTCCGACCTTTCTAGCGACTTTTTCGAATTATTTAGGACCGCCCTCACATGTTCCTGATTGGGCGCTATGAATTTAAATCCTTGATGGACAGCTGAGACCCTTCACCCATTGGTCTAACTCGTCTCTTCCAGCAAATCTTACTGACGACCAATGGCTTCTATGTGTTTGTGTTTATTGCTCTGTTGTTGGTGAATGGATCGCTCCGAGAAAACTGCTGTTGGGATTTAGGGCTATACACAAAATAATTGAATTGAATAGAATTTTGAGTCTGGAGGTAGAATCAAACCCAGGATTTTCTAGCTGTGACCACCATGCCTCGTTTTCCCACACTGTTATTGTGTTGCTTTTCTAGTTTCAATCAGCTTTTCTCATTTGAAACAGTCAATTTGACACTGACTTTTCCCATCTTCAAACCCGCAGAATCTCACTTATAACTCTAAAGACATTGGCAGCGGCACTTCCACCTCCTTGGTCCAGCAGATTAAGTGCGTTACAATGTTAACTGGCCTCGGATCAATCTCCCGACAATCGATAATCCCTTCAGATACTGTGTTGACTGGGTCTCGGTGCTGGCCGCTGATGTGAAAACTAAAGCTTGTTTCACACCTTTTCCGATTGGACGCGCGACTGGAGAGGCTTTTTGGAAGCTGCATTTTTCACATGGAGCTAATCTCTGCATCCTCGTCACAGCGCATCAGTCACTCCAAACGCAGCCTTGTTTTTACTCTCGCAGCGGCTGGGGCT